AGGACCTATCCACGTCATCATTTACCCAGAATGCTTTGCRTGTAAATAAAATGGCCCAGTCCATGTAATATATTTTTAAACTTTGTTTAAAAATTATAAAACTAAACATCCTACAGTATTTTTCCAGTCTTTATTTTACAGTTAAAGTATATGTTTATCATATAAAGTCTAATTTACAACTAATCGTAGATCCCTTTAATAGCTAAAGTGTTAGAGTGACTTCAGTTTAAACAGCTGAGAGAAGAAGAAAAAACTACCTTTGCAGAAAAAACAGTAGAAAGGAGCAAAAATATAGTTGAAATAGCAGAAAAAGCTAAATATTCAGCCCTGGCTGAATACAGCAGAAAACATATGTAAAAAGGCAAAAATAGCAGAAATTTTCAGAAATAAGCACAAAAAATAGAAAAAAACAAACAAACCAGAAGAATAGCAGAAAGAAGCAGATCTGAAGCTGTCAGCTTTCAACAGATCACAGGACAACATGTCCAGCGTGTTCCTGTGGACTCGTTAGTTTGTCCTCTCCAAGGGTCTCGTCCTTTTTGGATTGAGTTTTTAAATGTTTTGAAGATGAAACACAGGAAAACAGAATATTTTTATAGGTTGTAGGTAAATTAAAAGTTCTGATCTCTCATCATTTCCTTCATAAAATCTAAACATTAAACTAAAGTTAAACTATAGAGACATAAATCTGTTTGATATTAACATAAGTATCACAGTGTTTTAATGCTTTAAAGTATAAAACCTCAGAAACGTCTCCATCTGGAGCCACGCTCTCCAGCTCCTCTCTGGGAATCTGGAGGCGTTCCACCCAGCTGGGATTAATAATCTGCACTCGTGGTTCCACCCAGAAAATTCCTGCAGTTTGACGTTCCTGTGGAAAACTTCAGCCTCTGTGTTCAATAAACTTCAGCTGCTTCTGATTAACTTCCTGATTTTACTTCTTTGTTTTTTAAACTCAGAATCCTAAACTGAAGATAATTAGTTTTTCTCTGTGAGAGATGAAGTTTTATTTATTTAGCTGCAGTTTTCTGATGACGACAGATTAACTGATTTTTTTTTTTTTATCATCCTGCAGACACCTGTTCCACAAGAGCTGTGTGGACCCCTGGCTGCTGGACCACCGGACCTGTCCCATGTGTAAGATGAACATCCTGAAGGCCCTGGGCATCGCTGTGAGTCTCATTTGATTCTGATTTTTCAGATGGTCTTTAATTCCTCTTAAGCTGATCTTTAGTTCCTCTTTAGTTGACCTTTAGCTGAGCTTTAGTTCCTCTTTAGTTGGCCTTTAGCTGAGCTTTAGTTCCTCTTTAGCTGATCTTTAGTTCCTCTTTAGTTGACCTTTAGCTGAGCTTTAGTTCCTCTTTAGCTGATCTTTAGTTCCTCTTTAGTTGACCTTTAGCTGATCTTTAGTTCCTCTTTAGTTGACCTTTAGCTGATCTTTAGTTCCTCTTTAGTTGACCTTTAGCTGAGCTTTAGTTCCTCTTTAGCTGATCTTTAGTTCCTCTTTAGTTGACCTTTAGCTGATCTTTAGTTCCTCTTTAGCTGATCTTTAGTTCCTCTTTAGCTGATATTTAGCTGATCTTTAGTTCATCCTCAGTTGATCTTTACTTGATCTTTAGTTCCTCTTTAGCTGATCTTTAGCTGATCTTTAGTTCATCTTTAGCTGATATTTATTTCATCTTTAGCTGACCTTTAGTTCATCTTTAGCTGACGTTTATTTCATCTTTAGCTGATGTTTATTTCATCTTTAGCTGACCTTTAGTTCATCTTTAGCTGACCTTTAGTTCATCTTTAGCTGATGTTTATTTCATCTTTAGCTGACCTTTAGTTCATCTTTAGCTGATCTCTAGCTGACTAGCTGATCTTTAGCTGACTAGCTGATGTTTAGTTAATCTTTAGCTGATCTTTAGTTCATCTTTAGCTGATTGGCTGATCTTTATTTCATCTTTAGCTGACGTTTATTTAATATTTAGCTGACCTTTAGTTCATCTTTAGCTGACCTTTAGTTCGTCTTTAGCTGATCTTTAGTTCGTCTTTAGCTGATCTTTAGTTCATCTTTAGCTGATCTTTAGTTCATCTTTAGCTGATCTTTAGTTCATCTTTAGCTGATCTTTAGTTCATCTTTAGCTGACATTTATTTCATCTTTAGCTGATGTTTATTTCATCTTTAGCTGACCTTTAGTTCATCTTTAGCTGATCTTTAGCTGACTAGCTGATCTTTAGGTGATCTTTAGTTCATCTTTAGCTGATTAGCTGATCTTTATTTCATCTTTAGCTGACGTTTATTTCATCTTTAGCTGACCTTTATTTCATCTTTAGCTGACCTTTAGTTCAACTTTAGCTGATCTTTAATCTTTAGTTCATCTTTAGCTGACCTTCGGCTGATCTTTAGTTCATTTTTAGCTGATGTTTATTTCATCTTTAGTTGATGTTTATTTCATCTTTAGCTGACCTTTAGTTCATCTTTAGCTGATCTTTAGCTGACTAGCTGATGTTTAGTTCATCTTTAGCTGACGTTTATTTAATCTTTAGCTGATCTTTAGTTAATCTTTAGCTGATCTTTAATCTTTAGTTCATCTTTAGCTGATCTTTAGCTGATATTTAGCTGATCTTTAGTTGATCTTTAGTTCATCTTTAGCTGACCTTCGGCTGATCTTTAGTCAGTGTTTTGATAAAAACTAGTTTTTTGCTCTTAAACCTGCTGAGACCCCGTCTGATAGTCCCCCTGAGTCAGAACTAGTGGTCACCGCTCTGTGTGGAGCGTTGTGATTGGTCAGAACTCTGTGGGCGGAGTTATCAGGATTTAGACCCCGCCCTTTACATGAGAAACAGTCTGTGGTCTCAGGTCTAGCTGGACTTTAGTCAGACTGATTAACGATGGTTTGGTCTGAACCAGCTGAACGCGGACTGCCTGGACGACCTCCCCCTGGACTACGAGCTGGCTCTGGGCGGGGTCGGAATGGGTGGAGTCGGGGCTCTGGCCCTGGAGGCCGTGGTGTCCGGAGCGTCCAGCGACGGTACGCTGAGCGAGGGCGGGTCCTCAGTGGTCCTGGACCCTGGCGTGCGGCGGATGGGACTCCCACAGGACTATCAGGACCCTGATACTCTACGGGACAGTCCGGTGACGGCCATCACCGACACCCTGACAGGTAAGACTCAAAGACCCTGAGACCCTGACAGGTGAGACCACTCAAAGACTCTGACAGGTGAGACACAAAGACCCTGAGACCCTGACAGGTGAGACACAAAGACCCTGAGATGCTGACAGGTGAGACACAAAGACCTTGAGACCCTAAAAGTTAAGACAAAAAGACCTAAAGACTAAAAGACTCTGAGAAGTGAGACTCAAAGACTCTGAAAGGTGAGTCTCAAAGACTCTGACAGGTGAGACTCAAAGACTCTGACAGGTGAGACTCAAAGACTCCGACAGGTGGGACCTAAAGACTCAAAGACTCTGACAGGTGAGGACTCAAAGACTCTGACAGGTGAGACTCAAAGACTCTGACAGGTGAGACTCAAAGACTCTGACAGGTGAGACTCAAAGACTCTGACAGGTGAGACTCAAAGACTCTGACAGGTGAGGACAGCAGCTGCAGGTGTGGTTACTCTGACACCTGGTGGTGATTCTGATGAATTACATCTTGTTGATGGTTTAAAATTTATTTCTTTTTTCTAAATCTTTTAATCTTCCCTTCATCCTTCTGTTTCCATCTCCTCCTCCTCTTCCTCTTCCTCCTCCTCCTCTTCCTCCTCCTCCTCCTCAGGTGAGATGCAGCCGATGACGAGCAGCGCCTCCGTGGCGTCGTTGGTCATCGCCGTGGAAACGGGTCTGTTGGACGAGGAGGCGTCCATGGAGCGGGCTCAGATGGGGGCCAAGTCTTGAGAGACCAACAGCAGAACCGAACCAGAACTGGACCCAAAATAGACTGGTCAGACTTGTTTGAGACTGATCTGATCCAAACCTGCCCAGGAGGATCAGGACCGAGGTTTACCAGGGCTGGGTTCAGGCTCAGAGGAACTGGACTCTGTTGGTTCTGGTTAGTCTCCACACACAGACTCTGTTCTGGTTTCTTTCAGAACCAGAATCTGGTCCTTCATTTCAAAGTTCTATGTGTTTTATCCTCCTGGTACTGGTTTTACCTCCTGATCCGGTCCAGGAGTTCTGATCGTGTCTAACGAGTCCTCATGTTTCTGGATCTTTCCTGGACTCGAATCGTTCTGGTCCCTGCATCTGGACCCACCTGTCCCGTGTCGGGTTCTGATGTTTGTTGTCTTGCTGTGACGGACTTTTATTTTGAAAAGGACTCGATGTTTATTTGTTCCTGTGGACCCGTCAGTATTAATTCAGTGGTCAGATGGGCAGAACCTCCTGTCAGTATTCTGAGCTCCAGGTCTGGAGTTCTCTGGAGGTTCTGGTGTGAGCTGATCCCAGTGGTCCTCTGTGGTCCAGGTTCTGAACGGAAAGACTTTGATCCAGACCTGAAGAGTTTTAACTGTGAGCAGAGAACTGAATGAAAAGTGTTAAAGAATCTCACATCAGTATTTCAGAACCCATCAGAACCACACCGTCCCGGGTCGCGTTCACATGGGAGGACCCCGAACCTGGTTTTGGGAAACCAGGTTCTATTGTTGCGTTCTCTTGTGGACGACCTGAAAACAGTGATGCCATGGACCAGGGGTCTCCAGTCCTGGTCCAGTTGGACCACCATCCTGCAAGTTTTAGATGTTCCTCTGCTCCTCAACGGGTCTTCAGGTTCTGCAGAAACCAGGTGAGTCAAAACAGAATGGTAGTCCTCCAGGACCAGGACTGGACCCCCCCGCCCCCCCACCCCCCCCCTCTAATCTGGCCTACGTGACCAGATCCAGAACCAAAATCTCCTGATGGACCATCAAATTCTCGTAAATCAGTTTTATGTTCCTCAGAGAGAAACTATAACCCTGTTAAACCATCGTAGGAACTTTTAATTTGGTGCTTTCAGCCCACAGGAAGTTCCTGACAGGTCCTAGAACTGGAACAGGAAGTTCCTGACAGGTCCTAGAACTGGAACAGGAAGTTCCTGACAGGTCCTAGAACTGGAACAGGAAGTTCCTGACAGGTCAGATAACTGGAACAGGAAGTTCCTGACAGGTCCTAGAACCAGAACAGGAAGTTCCTGACAGGTCCTAGAACCAGAACAGGAAGTTCCTTACAGGTCAGATAACCATAACAGGAAGTTCCTGACAGGTC